ATTTCTAACCAGTGCTCAGGAGATGCTGTTACTGCTGACTGCAGATGACACTTGGCGTTCCTCTACCAAAGACCACAGCTCCTGTCTGTGACCCTCTGCCATGGCTAAGCGACAGCTGTCCCTGGGTTCCAATAATCACTTTTGTTCCTGGCCTCTTTAGGCCTGGGGTGTTTGTGACCCCCCCAGTGCTGCTGGTCTTGGGTTCCCTAAGCTCTGTCCACCCCTCTAAATAGTTCCCTTATTAAACTCTCTTTAGGCACCTTTGATGAGCCATCTGTTTCCTGCCCAGACTCCCGAGGCAGAGGACCTGGTACAGGCCAAGTGACCCACCTCTGTTTGATTTTGGCGGCTGCGGCACAAAGGCCCTTCTTCATCTGGGCTTTGTAACCACCCCCCCCACCAATGGTTCTAGAAGCATTGCTCTGGGTAGGATTGCTCCCTTGCCTCACTGGGGACCATCTTCAGCTCCTCATTGTCTCCTGGCACCACTGAACTTCATAAGGGTGGAACCTTGGTGTCCCAGGTACTTCAGGGTCAAGGTGCAGGAACCTTCTCAAACTTCCTCTAGGCCGAAGAGGAATTTTCAGGGCAGATCTGGGGATACTTCATGGACCCCCAAGGACAGGGAGCATAGAAAGGCCTCATGGGGTGGGTTCAAGAGGATTGAGGCGGTTTCTTTCTCTGTGTTTGTCTTCTGTCTGTCCACCATGTCCCTGTGCCATCTAGGCCATCAGCCTCCGGCCATGTCATTGTGTGTTTCTCTCTGTCCCTGCCTCCCTCCTCTCTCCACGCATCTTTATCTCACTGGGGTCTGGCTCTTTCTGTGTCTCTGTGTCTCTTTCTGTCTCTCTGTCGGGAGCTCCCTTTCTTGGGGCCCGGGCCATGACATTGAAGGAGGTGCTTGCCCTCACTGCCAACCTATACTCACTTAAACATGTGCCTTGAGGACCTTGTCTGCCTTAGCCGCCACTGGTTCCCTCTCTTTGTCTCCCTACTCCTCTGTCTCTCTGAGTCTCTGGTCTCTGTTCTTCTCTGTGCTTCAGCAGCCTGATCTTTCGCCTCCCGGGCACACGGCTGAAGTTTACTGCTGCCCGGTGTGTCCCCCAGTCCAGCACCCAGTGTCTCCGAGTCCACTTTCAAATGCCAGGACAGGAATATAACCCACTCGGATCAGCCATTCAGACCTTGTGCAGTCAGCTGTGGCCAGGGGCTGGGCTCCCCCTGCCCTCAGTGGGGCTTGAGAACAGGCTCTCTGAGGAGGGGCCGCTCCATCCTTCCACCTGGCTCTGTGCCTCCACCAGGCACAGTGTGGCACAGGAGCACCCTCACTGCCAAAACATAGACAGCCTTGCCCTGAGGACTTCCTAGGGATTGGGGAAAAGAAGAGCCAAAACCACGTTCAAGAACAGAGGGAGACGCTCCCCTCCCACCCCCTCACCCTGTCTTGTGGTTCTGTAAATGTATCAAGCGTCAGCTGCCTCCTCTTCAAAGATCCTGGCTCCTCCAGCTGTATCTGCAGTAAAAAGTCAGCTCCCATTTGGGGGCTTCAGTTTCAGATGTCGGAGTCATGTGTAGTGAAAACACTCTCTGCTGTCTTTCACCAGATTGTGGCCAAATGCTTTGGAGATTTCTAAAACCCTTAGGAAAGAGGAGGCAGCAGCCTTGACTCTGGGGACAGAAGAGGAACCTGAAAGAGGACAGGGAGAGTCTCCAAACGGTCCCAGTTGAGGGGCGCAGGCCCTGTACTACTGCCCCAGTTACTAGGGTGATGGAGAAGGTGGAGGGGGCCTGCGGGACTCCTGTCTTGTTTCTGGCTGGGCCTCAACAGCTGTTTTCTACATCTCTGGGCAGTTCTTAAACAACAGGAGGAGGATTTAGGGAGGATGCATCACAGTTTCAGCAAGGAAGGTGTGAGGATGGGACTTTGGGGCCACATCTTGCCTTTCTAGGAGGTGTCAGCCAAGGTGGGGCATGGGTACAGGAGAGGTGTGGGGACAGGCTTGGAACTGGGAGCTTTAGGCCTAAGCATACACACTGGATTCTTTCCAGGCCTGCTTAGGATTCTGCAGACTTGCCACAGCCATTGGGGCCTGCACCCCCGAGTCTAGACCCTGCCTTCTGTCAGTGTGCTTCTGGGGGAGATAAACCCAACCTGTAAGCTTGGCTGGTCCAAACAGAGAGAAGAGAACATCCCAGCAGAGAAGGCTTCTGTGAGCTCTGAGGAGAAAGTCCTGCAGATGCAAACATGGGCATAAGTCACTTATAATTAAAGCATCCAAGTCTGTGGCATCTTTCTCTGGAGTTCTTTATTGCATTCATCCGCCTGGGCCCTACGGAGCTCCAGTCCTGCACCAGGTGCTGGGCATGTGCAGGTCCCCCATCCTTCGGACCAGCAGGGGAGACAGGGAGCTCCACAAACCAAGGCTTGTGGTGGGAGGTGGTGGAGACTCTTACAGGGCTCTAGCAGCAAAGAAAAAGCAGTTAACTCTGTCCAGGGAGTCCGAAGGCCTTCCTGGAGGAGGGGACGTTTATTCTAAAAGGCTGAGTAAGAGTTTACCAAGTGGGACAGGAAGGATCTCGGTCAGAGCTGAGTGGGCCTGGCTGGCATGGAGGAGGGTGAGACACTTGGAGTAGAAGTTAATGGCAGGAGAAGACTAATGTGGCTGGATAGGGGAGGTGGAAGAGCCCCCAATCTGAGTATCACCCTGGCCCAGTTGATCTCTTAAGCTTCCTTCCAGCTGTTGCTGAAGCAGCTTTCAGCAGCCCCCAACTTTGTGTGGAATGAGGCCCAGTGAGGGGGAAGGGAGCTGGGTCCTGGGGGCCAGAGGTTATGTGTCCCCGCTGCTCAGGGGAGGGCATGAGGCCCCACGTGCCCAGGCTGCACACATCACCTTGGCAGTTTGTGGGCAAACCCTCTTGGCCGAGGGGAGATTGCACTGCCAGCCACTTCCTCCAGTTCCTTCCCTCTGCCTGTCGTCACAGTTACCTCGGCCTTCTCGGGGGTGAGGTTGAGGTTGGGCGGAATCAATTTCAGCCAGGTTTCTATTTTCCCAGATGCGGGTCAGCCAGAGGAGCTGTCACTTCTGGTTGGGTTTCAAAGAAGGCCACGGGCTGGGAGGTGCTTGGGTGTGGTGCTGTTGATGAGGCATCCCTCCAGCAGCCTCCCAGGTGGGGTGGGTGTGGTCTGGGACAAGCTCGCGGGGTGGTGGGGAAGAAGAGCGCTGCCCTGCTAGGGCCTGTGCTGATGGCCGTGGTGCTGGTCTCAGGCCCAGGTCCTCTGTCCCAAGCTCCTATGGCATGCCGGGAGTTTGCAGAGAGAAGCTGTTTATTTTCCTGGCCTGTGGCCCTCTGGGCTGAGATCTTGTTCCAGGCCCTAGGCTGCCAGAATCACCACCCCCTGTCCCTCCCGTAGCTGGAGAAGTGAGAGAGTTGGCAAGCCCAGGGCAATCCACTGACTCCTCTAGTGGCCTCTGACTCTGAGCTGTGCCCAGCCCAGCTGGTCGTACGTGTCCTTCAGATTTTCCTCATAGGTAATGGACAGCGAGAGGTACCACATCAAAGCACTTCTGGTGGCCCAGTGCTGTGAGGGCGAGTGATCCAAAGCAGGAAGTTTGAAGCTGAAGAAATCTGAGTTCAAATCCTGGCTCTACCACTTCCTAGTCATGTAGCTAGTTGTACAGCCTTGTGCAAATTGAACTATTAAGCCTTGGTCTCACTGTCTGTAAAATGGTACACTATTAGTACCTTCCTCATGGCACGATTAAATAACATGTGTTTAAAGCATTTAGCAAAGTAGGCAACAAGTGCCACCTTTTATTATTCCTGAAAAACAATGACAATAGCAACTTCTGATTCAAAGTCTGTGTTGGGGACAGTGATTTTTTTGCCTTCCATTTAATGGGTCCTATTTCATGCACCATGAACTTCCTAATGCATCCTGGGGGAGAAGCCTGGAGACACAGGAGGCCCCTCGCTTATGACCCTGTGTTCCCCAGCTCTCTTAGAGTGAGCCTCACTGGAGAGGAACATGCAAAGGCAGGGAAAGGGTTAAAACGAGGCGAAGAGACCGTTAGCAGTTAAGTTCATACCCAATATCCTTCTGGAGAAGAGAGGGGTATGGGGTATGGAGGAGCAGCAAAGTTTGAAAATTAGGGAGTAAATGTGTCGGGACAAAGGCAGCCAGGGACGGGAGCCTGGGAGAGGCAGAATGTGGGACCATGTCTGTGCCCAAGAATTGTAAGGGAAGTGCCTGGGAACCACTGGCCTGGAAAATTGTGCCCAGAAGGCCTGGGCTGGGCAGGTGGCACCACCCATTGGGTGCCACCTCTGTGTGAGTAGACTCACCAGGCTGCCAGCCTTGTGAACCTGGCAGAACCCAGGTGTCTGTCTTGGTCCATTTTATGTTTTATTCCATAACAGAACAATTTATATAACAGAGTAATTTATGAAGAGCAGAGATTCATTGGCTCCCAGCTCTGGAGGCCAGAAAATCCAGTATCAAGGTGCCGACCTCTGGCGAGGGCTTTCCTGCTGTATCATCCCAGGGCAGAAGACAGAAAGGCAAGAGAGCAAGAGAATGTCAAACTTGCTCTTAGAACAAACTCACACTTGTTACTTAATCTTCACACTCCCTTTAATCCTCTCAGGAGGACAGAGCACTCATGTCTGAACCACCTCTCAAACATCCTACAGCTCAATGCTGTTGCTCTGGGGATTAAGTGTCCAACACACGAACCTGGGGGGACACATTGAAACCACAGCAGTATCCCTGTCCTTCTGGGACACTGCCTCCTCCCTGGGATGCCCATGTGAGAGGACCCCTGGATTGGCTGGGAGATGTGGCCATCTCTCCAGCCGCCAGGCTAGTGGACGTGACACTCCCTTGCTGCCAAAATGTGGGTAAGGAAAGGGGAGCCGTCCCTCTACCTGTCTGTGTGTCAGGAGAGAGGCTGTACCCCAGGCCTGTCTCACATCTAATCCGTGGCTCTGTGCCCTCACAGCTAGATGAGGAAGAGGAGCGAAGGAAAAGGCGCCGGGAGAAGAATAAAGTTGCAGCCGCCCGATGCCGGAACAAGAAGAAGGAGCGCACGGAGTTTCTGCAGCGGGTGAGCAGAGCAGCTGGCCGGGCGGGCTCTGCCTGTGCCTTGGCGTGGGCTCGAGCACTCTGGACCAGGAGAGCTGACAATTGCCCATGCAGCTGATGTGCACCTGCTGGCAGCTGCCCAAGCAGTTTGGCCCCTCCGCTCTTCTCCATCTCCTTTCTAGTACCCCCACCCCCAACCTAGACAGAGCAGCCTCCAGCAGTTCCTGCCCACAATCACCCCCTGTAAGTCCAGAGAAGGAAGGAGGGGTCTAGTGTGCCTCCACCAGGTTAGACCTGTGGCACTAATTAACCAAGATGACCGAGGGCTGCTACTATGTTCTGGTCCCCTGGTACCTAACAAAGTTGTCTAGCAGGGGTGCTAATGAAGCCGGGAGGTAACATCCTGCATGTGTGCAGTGAACGCAGCAGGGGGGCTGCCTACTTCAGTGCAGAGAAAAGCTCCTTCCCTTAGCTGCAGGTGACTGAGTCTCATCTGGCCACCCCTCAGCCCCACTGAAGAGGACCCCTGAGCTCTTTACTGTTGCCCTCAGGGGTCAAAGGTCAGTTCTGCCTGGACAGATAGGTCAGCCAGGGCCTGCTTTTCCTTCTGGCACTACCTGCCCTTTTGTCTGGAATGTGTCAGAGTGTTTATTCTTTCTCTCCCCTGAGGCCCTTTCTCTCCCCTTAGACCCTCCCTGCGTCTCAGGATGGCAGATGGCAGTGAGGGGATATGGCCATAAAGCTCATTAGTCCAGACCAATAGTCACCACCCCTGATCACTGGGTCATCACTAAACAATAATATTATAACAACGTATAACAGTAACATAATGGGTCAGGTACTATTCTACAAGTATACAGTAATTGTCAGTAGTTGCTGGTATTCGTAAAGCTGGGCACCATGCTAAGTGCTGCATGTGCAGTATCTCATTTGGCGTAAGAACCATATGAAGTGGGTAACTTCACTATTGTCTTGCTACAGATGAGGAAGGTAAGGCACAGTGAGGTTAAGTGACTCACCTCTTAGCTAACTCACGGTGAGTCAGTGATAGCACAGAGAGGGAAGCCTGCAACTAACCTCAAAGCATCTGTTCCTTACACTCTGCTGTGATGATTTATTCATTCATTCTTTCTTTTCTTTATTCATTGATTCAGCAAGTAAGCACCCCACACTGTGCTGGGTGCATTGGGGGGCACACAGGAGGAGCAGGCGTGAGTGCTGGAGAGACAAGGTAGGGTTGGCCTGGTGTTTTCCGACACAGGGAGTCTATGGATCTCTCTCCTACTTGCAAAAAGCAGAGAGCTATTCTGAGACCACAGGTGTGGACAGTGTGGGGCCACGGGTACACCTGCAGGCTGTGAGTGTCCAGGGCAGGGGAATGGTTACTGCAGGTGGGAGACGGACTCCCAGAGCTGGGAGCCCCTTTGAAGAGGTGTTGGCGGCACAGCACTGGGAAGTCTTGGAGATTGGTGAAATGTTATGTACCTCATTTCCAGCACTCGGGGCCTGCCATAGACAATGTTAGGGAAGGGAACAACATTTTGGGGCTGGAAGTCTTAGAGATTGGTAAAGTGTTACGTACCTCATTTCCAGCACTCGGGGCCTGCCATAGACGATGGTGGGGAAGGCACAGCAAGGAATAGAGAAGCTTCTCATAACATTCCTTCCCTTAAAGCAGCAGTTTTCAACCTGTGAGTCACCACCCCTTTTTAACAATAAAAATACATTGCGGCTTTAGGAAGATTGAGAACCACTGCCTTAAAGGCTCACCAGCCAATTCTGATGGCAAGATTGGGCTGAGTGGACAGCACACCAGTGGCACACAGCACAGTAGTGTCAAATGAATGACATTCACCGCTTTTCACATTTTGGTAACACTTGCTGAGTACCGGGCATTTTGCATGTTCATTTAATCCTTATAACATTCCAGTGAGATGAATATTAATTATTCCCATTTTAGAGACTGACATGTAGCTCAGAGAGGTCAAGTTACTTGCCCAAGTGGTGGGCTCAGATTCATCTACCCCTTTCCTGACCCTCCTCCCCACCTCTCCACCTTCCAACAAGTGTTTAACAAACACAGGCATGAGTATTGTTCAGGGATGTGCTTAGGCTCTGAAGAGAACATTAGGTGGCTGGAGTTCAGAGTACTAAGGAGGGGGTGGACAGGCAGACAGGGCCTAGATCCTATGTGCTGGGTTGCCCAGGACACCCCAATCTTGTGCCTGTTATCCTGGCCCAATTATTAGCAGTCCCTCTTTCACTCTCACAAGTGTCCCCATCAGGAGGATAAATCTTATGGTCCTGGAGAGCATCGGAGGGAGGGCTTCCGGAAAAGTGAGGCACGCCTTTGAAAGATCCGCCAGCCACAATGCAGGGCACTGCTTGGGGGGTGGGGGAACACATTTGGGTAAGGAGATCAATTTTATGGGTGTTGTCTTGTGCTAGTGAGAGAAAAATATGAGGCTTCAAGGTCTGGGAGGGAGATTTGGGCAGCACTGTCTGGGCCAAAGCCCAGGGCCCCACTCAACCCCATGTTCCCCTGCTCCCCTGCTCCCCTCATCCCTGCTGGCCTTAGAAGCAGAGGTTGGGTGTGAAGTTTAGGGCATGAATACAAATGGCTGTGTTGGTGCTCAGTGCCTGTAGACCTTGGGGATTCTGTTGTTATTTGTTTTTAATGGGTAAGATATTTAAAAAGCTGTAAGGTACCTGTATTATTTATTTAATAAATATTAATTATTTATTAAATAAAAAATATAGATACAATGGGACTTTTTTTTTTCTGAGACAGAGTCTCACTCCGTCGCCCAAGCTAGAGTAATGTGGCATCTCTTGCTTACAGCAACCTCAAACTCCTGGGTTCCAGCAATCCTCCTGCCTCCGCCTCTCAAGTAGCTGGGACTGGCGGCACCTGCCACAACACCCAGCTAATTTTTCTAATTTTAGTAGAGATGGGGTCTCACTCTTGCTCAGGCTGGTTTCAGATTTCTGAGCTCAAGTGATCCTCCCACCTTAGCCTCCCAGAGTGCTAGGATTACAGGTGTGAGACTCCACGTCCCGCACAATTGGGATATTGATACATACAATTCAGTCAGCCTTCCATTATCTGCAGGTTCCATATCTGTGATTCAACTGAAGATCAAAAATATTTGGGGGGGCTCGGCTCCTATAGCTCAACCAGCTAAGGCGCCAGCCATGTACACCTAAGGTGGCGGGTTTGAATCCCCAGCCTGGACCCGCCAAACAACAATGACGGCTGCAACCAAAAAATAGCCGGGCGTTGTGGCGGGCGCCTGTGGTCCCAGCTACTTGGGAGGCGGAGGCAAGAGACTCGCTTGAGCCCAGGAGTTGGAGGGTGGTGTGAGCTGTAATGCCACGGCACTCTACCCAGGGGGACAGCTTGAGGCTCTGTCTCAAAAAAAAAAATATTTGGGGAAGAAGAAGCATCTGTATTGAACATGTACACCCTTTTTTTCCTTGTCATTATTCCCTAAACAATGTAGCCTAACAACTATTTATATAGCATTTATATTAGGTATTATAAGTAATCTAGGGATGATTTAATGTGTAAGGATATGCATAGGTTATGTACAAATTCTATGTCATTTTATATAAGGAATTTGAACATCCTTAGGTTTTGGTATCCCCAGAGAGTCTTGGACCCAGTGCCCCATGGATTCTGAGGGAGGACTGTTTTTTATATATATATACTGTTAACTGTTTTATATATATATACTATTGTATATATTGTATACATATTTTTTATATATGTGTGTGTATGTGTGTATATGTATATATATGTATATATAGTGCTTAGGCTCTGAAGAGAACATCAGGTAGCTGGAGTTCAGAGTACTAAGTAGAGGTAGAGAGGCAGACAGGGCCTAGATCCTTCCTATGTGCTGGGTTGCCCAGGACACCCCAGTCTGTGCCTGTTATCCTGGCCCAATTATTGGGCCAGGTATCCCTGGATACCAAGAGCCACCCCTGGAAGATTCTCACTACACCTCAGAGTTCACTGATCTAGACCAGCCAAAGCCTTGAACCCCAGGCAGAGGCAGCCCTGGGCACAGGTCAGATCCACACCCTGCAGGACCCAGGGCTACCACAGTACCTCCTCTCCCTGCAGTCAGGAGCAGTGGCACAAGGCCTCTCCCTTCTGCTGCTGTGCCTAACACAGGTTCTCTGGGTACTGGTAGCAATAATACCATCTCACACTCTCACAGAGCCCCACACTTTCCATCACCACCCTGTCCTTAACAGTCACAGTAACTCTGGGAAGAGGGCAGGCAGCCCCATTCCACTGACAAGGATCCTAAGGAATTACAGATTTGCTCAAGACAATGTAGCAGCTGACTTAGGACACAACCCTGGGCTCTCTCTACAGCCCAGCAAATTATTGAGGTTGTCAGGACTCAGAAAAATTGGGAAACTTGCTTGCAGAGGCAAAGCTAGTAAGTAGCAGAGTCAGGATTTTAATTCAGACAGGCTTTTGGGGCTCAGAAGGCCACATCACGCTATTCCCAACTCATACAAAAACTAGGTGGAATTCTATTTTATGTGCTTTAGAGTAACTTTTTTTTTGTTCTTTTTATATATCAGATAGTCTTAATGCTCAAGGTCCCATGGGCCAATCAATTTTATGGAAGGAAATTGAGCCCGAGAGAGGCAAAGTCATTTTTGCCAAGGTCACATAGCCAGAATGACAAGCCAGGACGCCCAGCCTCTGTCTCACCTGCTATTTTTTTTTTTTTTACTGCCTTTGCAGACTGCAGCCTAGGAGGCAGAACCTCAACTTGCACTAATTTTATTTTAAAACAACAAATGGTTTCATTTTCTCTAGAGTGATAAATATCTACCAGAAGGCAAAACAATAAACAAAAATGCAGACAGAGTCATTTGCTGCATAATTAACATGTGGAAGATCCTAGCCCAGTTTTCATTAATTAGGAAAACAAATCAAGTCATTGCTAGCATAAACCCACAAACCACGTCTACAATCAGGGTTAAAAAAGATTCTACAGAACTTGAACTTATACCATAAATAACTATGTAGCACCAACCGAAAGCTCTTTGAATACAGAAGGGAATAAAACTAAAAAGCAGTTATTTATATTCTGGCAGCCAGAATTCAGGATATCCCATGATATACGTAGTGCTGCAACATTTTACAACCTACAGAACGTAATGCCATTCCTGTGAAATTGCACGTGTGAAGCGATTGGGCCCACACCTCCTTGGTCTTTTCACGTGATACAGACAAACACACGTAGAGCTGGTTTGACATGGGATAGTTTTGAGCAGGTGGATCTGTGGGTGGTACTATTGAATTCCACCTGTGTGACGCTTCCCTCTGCAATGCCTAGTTTTAACTTCACTCACTGTGCCCCAAACCAAACTCTTTCTTTGTCCTTCCACTGCTTTCCAGAACAGCTTCCTCCCAGGCTCTGTTCCTCAGACCCTTCCTCAGGTTCATAGCTCTCTGCCCTGTCCCCTTTCTTCTCCAAGTCCAGGCACTACCCGAGACCTGCGGATTTTACTTTGAAACACTTTCTTTCTCTTCTTCATACTATTCTCTTGCTCATACATTTAAGTAAAAATTCCTTAAGCCTCTCTAACTCTTTGGTTTATAAAGTGCTTTTCCATCTGGGCTCATTTAATCCCCACAATCCTTGCCTTTTTATAGACAAGATAACTAAGGCTAAGAGAAGTTCAACTGGCTCTAGTCTGTGTTTCTAAACTGACATGGTTTCCAGAGCTGCAGGCTGGCCCCAAACTCACCATCATGGCTTCATACCCAGCCATGTCCTAAAGTGAGCTGTGGCCACAGTGAATATTTTTAACCTCTAAACACATCCTAAGCCTTCCCCATGGCTGTGTCTGTTCACTCAGGGCTCCCCAACTGAAAGTCCCTCTGTACTCTCCTCTCCCCAACCAGAGACAATCTGCCTCTCAAGCCCAAGGTCAAACCGTATTGTTTAGCCCTCTCGAAAGTCTTCTGAACTGTGGGTGGCTGTTGGTCATAAGGAAGCTCCAGCTGGCCTGATGGGTTTCTTCTTCCCCTTAGGGCAGAAGCTTCACAAGAGCCAGGCTGGGGGCTCATGGCCTTTGGGTCGCCAGGACATTCCTTGTAGTGGCAAGTCCTTAGGAGATACACATGGGTGGGTGGGTGGCTCTGAGACTCATAGGGTCAGAGGCCCAGGAGGATTGAAGATGGAGCTTTTTAGTTTGGGCTGGGGGACCTGTATAGTCAGGGGTTTGTGAGAGGTTCCCAAGGTCGCCAGTGAGTCAGAGCTAGACAGCAGGTGGCTAAAATTGGAACATAAGTGCCCCAGACGGAGGGATCCTGGACTTCCATGGTTTCCTGGGGGAGATAGGTACCTCTCTCCTGGTCATCTGAGATGGACTTCTTTCAGAATTCTGAGAGGAGAGGACCAGGCCATGTTTCCAGTCACGTCTCAGCCTGCTGGACTAGAAACCACCATAGCTGTTTTTTAATATTTTCCCCCCTGAGCGTTTTTTTCCTTTTGTGAGGCTGTTTTCTCTCAGTGTCTGGTCACGAGGCCTGCAGATCTCAGCAGTTCCGAGTTCCCTGGGCGCCTATACTGCCGCCTTTGGGGTGAGCACATGGAAGGATCTGATCAGAGTGGCTGGTGAGGAAAATAGCACCATTTGGGGGGGGTGGCCCCCACTGAGCACTCTGAAGACCCCAGGAGAATCTGTTCCACCTAAGCCCTGCCAGGAGAGTGGGCAGGCCTGTGGGCTCGCAGGCTGCCTAGGCATGACACACGCCACTACAACTGCTGCTCGCTGTCTGACTAAGACAGATGACTCGATCTCTGTGCTGTCAGCATTTTGGACCAGGTAGTTCTTGTTGCAAGGGATGCCCTGGGCCTTGCTGGGCTTTTAGCACACCCCTGGCCTTGACCTGCTAGATACCCCTGAACATGACAACCAAAAATGTCTCTAGACATTGTCAAATGTCTCCTGGGAGCCAAATCACTCCTAGTCGAGAACCACTGACCTAAAACTTTGCTTGCCCCTGAATAAATGTCAGCTCTCAAGTTGGTTGTAAGTTAATATAGTCCAAGAAAATTCATTCTGATACTTGTCTATTTTACTCTTTCACCCCCAACCCTTGAACTGATATGCCCATCACCCACCCATGCTATGAACATATAACCCCAAACAAATTATCAACATTCTTCCTTTTCCCAGGAGCATCTTCAGTTGAGCTGGAAGTTCACTGGATATCTCACTCGAGGTCTATTTGAAACCTCATTTTGGACCCAGCAGGATAACTGTTGATTGCCTCTGGGAACAAAGCATCCAGATTATGGAGATAAGGAAGACATTGGTTAAATACAGTAGACCTCTATCAGTTGACCACCCAAGCCCAAGGGACTATAACAAACTGGTCAACATAAGGAACTGGGCCTACTGTACTGATTCATACATGGGGTCCATGTCCAGTCTATGAAAATTAGGTCAACTTAAGGAACTGGCCAATGTAGGGAGGTGGCCAACTATGGAGGATCTACTGTAATTATAGACAAATTAGCCAGGAAACCCATGTTTTAGGAGGAATGATATGATCACACCAGGCTCGTTGATCTCCCAGACCAAAATATCCCAAATATGGGTTTGTCATACATCAAAGCCTTCTGCCATTTCACTACCATCAGTGGACCACCGTGGACCCTCATGGACCCTCCATGCAGCTGCTCGGGAGTCTCTTGGCCTCCATTTTCCCCAACTCTTTATTTCTTGTGCTAAGGCCCTGAAGCAGGGGAGTATTTGGTAAACTTGAGTGACTGAGGCTTTGGGGAGGAGGAGAGATGCAAAGCGTAACCTGGACTCACTGTACTACGACACAGGCCAGTGTCACAGGTGTGGTGGGCACTGCCTGCAGAAAATCAGTCAGCCTTGGGGCTCTGTAGCAAGGTTTGTGCTTCCTTCAGTGGGAACCTGGCGGGCAGAAAACAGGCAAATGCCAGCCAGAGTGCCCTGTACCCACCCACAGGCAGAGCCTCTGCCCAGAGCTGGCCCATGGAGGAGGCTTACAGTGTGTTTCTGTGTTTGTGTGCAGGAATCTGAGCGGCTGGAGCTCATGAACGCTGAGCTGAAGACCCAGATCGAGGAGCTGAAGCAGGAGCGGCAGCAGCTTATCCTGATGCTGAACCGGCACCGCCCCACCTGCATTGTCCGGACTGACAGCGTCAAGACCCCCGAGTCGGAAGGCAACCCGCTGCTGGAGCAGCTCGAGAAGAAGTGACCGTGGGCTGGGAGGAGGAAGCGGAGGAGGAGGAAGAGGAGAAGAGATGAAGAAGAGGGAGGGGGGTCCCAGAGGGCCTGTCCTCAGTGCATGAAAAACTGTACAATGAGGTTCGGCCCCACCAGTGTCAGCTGGGCTTTTTTGTGAAACTCAGATCAGCCGCGCAAGGGGAAGACGGGGCTGAAGAAACCCAGAGGGACCAAGTGCTGAGACCAAAGTTGACCTGCGGGTAGGGCTGTCCTGCCTGGGGCCCAGCTTGAAGGAGGCAGGACAGAGGTGCCTGGGCCAGAGAGACGCCCAGCCAGGCAGCCTTGGGCACTTCTCCAGCCTCTCCACCAGGACACCCACCTGAGGGACCTCCCAGCAGCCAGGAAAAGCCATGAGTTGCAACCAAAATGCGGCTGAGGATGGAACTCAAAATGAAACTGCAATCTGTCGGCCCTGACCCTGATGCCACGATGCTGGAGAGGGGCGTGCTGGGGCCCCAACACCCCACCCACCTCGGTCCCCACGGCCCGGGAGGCGGCAGCTGGGCGCACCCTGGCCGGCCCTGCTGGAGTCTGCTGTGGGCACTGAGGCGCGGGCGCCCTTCCAAAGCACATACTCACTGAATGTTTACAGACTGGTGTCCTCGCAGGGCTTTCAACTGCACATGTTTTTTATACTTTCTTTCTTTTTTTTTTTTTAATATTTTTTACCAAAAAAAAAGATTTTATACAAGCAATATATATATGGATTTCTATAATCACTCGATGTGATACAGTATAAATATGCTATGGTTTGTTTGTTAAGAACAGATATCCACCAGTTATGGCCGTTGTGTGTAACTCCGAAGTACTGTAGTCTCCGGGTGTTGGGGTGGCCGGGGCGGGGGTGGGGGCGTTTCCATCCTTGTAAACCCTTCATAGTACTCAGTCCTGTATCGCTCAGTAAACATTGCTCTTACTTACGCGGCTGCCTCGTGTGGTGTGTGCCTCCAGAGTGGGGCTCAAAGCCTGCTCAGTCTCAGGGAGTGTCAGGAGCCCTGTAATGCAGCCAGCCCTCCCATTTTACAGGTGAGAAGGCTGAGGCTCAGAGAAGGTCAGGCCATCTGCAGTCACTATTCTGAGAACACTTGGTGTATTCACTCATCCCACAAATGTTTCCAGAGAGCCTCCCGTGCGTGTGCCAGGCACTCTACAAGGCCCTGAGCGTTCACTAGGGGACAAAGCAGACCATTGCCTACAGTAGTGATCATCAGTCATCTTGATGCCTGCTTTCTGTGCTGCTGCATTCTTCTCTGCAACAGCCTTGGCAGAGACTTGTCCTGTTTCACAGATAGGGGGTTAGAGGACCGAGAAGATTAAACTTGTAGCCACTATTTGTGGAAGACTTACCGTGTGACAAGCACAGAGAGTTTCACTGTCATGTCTCACAACAGCACAAAATAGGGATTATTCCGCCTATGTGACCAATGACTTAGCTGAAGCTCAGAGAGGGTGAATGACTTATCCAAGGTCACCCAGCTAGTAAGGGACAGAGCTGGTGTTTGAACTCTGCCTCCAAAGGCCCAGCCTCTCCTGTCCGCAAATGACTGCATGATCATCCCAGTGGTTGCACGTCTTACCTTGATAGAATAGGAAGCTTATGATACTGCCGTCAGAGATCTTGTTTCTGGGAAGGCTGGATGGAGTTCTAGGCTGTCCCAGGATTACAAAGGGAAACAGCTACCTTGGAAAATGTGCACCTGACCTAGGGGAGAGACTGAAGATGGCTCTCCGCACCCCCAGCCCCCACACAGCCGAACCTCTGTGCCTACAGTGGGAACAGCTCAGTGCCAGGGATACAGTGGTGGCAATTACCTGGTGCTTGCTGTTCATGTTCTCGTGCATGGTGCTTCCTTTGATACTACAGTGCTCTGTGGAAGGTGGGATGGGAATTTTCCACTCCCTTGTATACCGAGGTTACAAAGGTCAAAGTTAACCCAGCTAAATCCATGCAGCACTGGGAGCCGACTTCAACCCCCCTACCTTCTACTCATATGCTCTTTCTCCCTGTCATGGGAGATGAGGGAGATGATGAGGCCTCGTGACAGGAACAGCAGTGACCTTGGACTGCTTCTTCAATTATGGACAAGGCTTTCCCACATGGACTGAAATTGAGAATAGATCATTAACACATCTTTGGGTCCTTCACACATCTCAGGTTCCCTCCACCCAACATGCTTGGTGTGGCCACCTCTGAGCCCTGCCTTGGAAGCACAGCCTGGTCAACTCACCCTCAGCCATGGCAGTCCACGGCAAGCCCTCAAGCTGTAATCCTCGGACATTTTTCAAGCCATGACAAAAATGAAGATGTGTACTTACAAGGGCCTTTCTGGTGACCCAATAGATGTTTTTGCAGGATCTACTGCCTGATCTTGGCTGTGGCAGTGCTGGTCCCATGCTTGGGTGCCATGAGTCAGTGTCTCCAGGGTGGCGCCCACCTTTGCTTGTGCAGATGGACTGTCTTCAGAAGCTACCAGATTGGTGACTTGTACTCTGCTGAGCCTGTCCCTGTTGTTTTCTTCCTCACCAGGACCGCCGCCCCCTCCTGTGGATAACTGGAAGTCACAGTTACAGTCTTCTTCATTAGAGCTGGTGTTGGAGTCTTTTTCTGTGTACCTGCCACTGCACATGTGTTAGCTGCTCTGTACAGCCTTGCTCAGAGGTCTCAGAGGTAAGTACACCACCCCGGTGTTACAGATGAGAAAACTGAGGCACATAGGGGAAGTGACTTGCGCAAGGTGCCAAACCTTCCAGGTGGCAGAGCCCAGATGTTATCTCAGTTTGACTCCAAGTGTTATAAACCCTGGGGCTGAGCCTCGCCACCAGAGAGGTATTTGTGGTGTGATCTCACTTGGCAGGAGAACTGGTACAGGCACAGACTCACCTATGCTCATGGCACATACTAAAAATTCCCAGCTCTCAGACCCATATCTCCAAAAATGTACGGAAGACATATTTTAAAAGCAGACAGGTTTAAGATTTAACCTTCTATTGACTATTAATCTCATTGTTCTTATCTGTGAAGGGGGAGTAGTAATAATCCAAGTCTTTTCTTTTTTTCATGGAATTATTGTCAGGATCAAACAAGGAATGGATATGTTGTAAGTATATTGTAAAATATAAACCTCTATAAGAATGGTAATTATCTTGCCCTCTGTTAGCGTGGATAGTTGTTGACATATACCATGTAGTACAAATTATTTAAATATCTTTTATTCTTTTTTTTTTTCTTTGAGACAGAGCCTCAAGCTGTCCCCCTGGGTAGAGTGCCGTGGCATCACAGCTCACAACAACCTCCAACTCCTGGGCTCAAGCGAGTCTCCTACCTCAGCCTCCCAAGTAGCTGGGACTACAGGCGCCCGCCACAATGCCCAACTATTTTTTGGTTGCAACCGTCACTGTTGTTTGGTGGGCCCGGGCTGGATTCGAACCTGCCACCTTAGGTCTATGTGGCTGGTGCCGTAGCCACTTGAGCCACAGGCACCGAGCCTAAATATCTTTTATTCTACAAAAGATATTCTGCAAAGTTTGTGTTCTGACCATGCACAGGTTCCCATGGTGTGATGAACTTCTGGAACCTGAGGGTCCTGGGTTCATTCAGCTCCTGATGAGCCACAACCATCTGTGCTGGGCGCACCATCCCTCCCTGGGTCTCACTGCACCCTCCTTCCAGGTGGTCATAAGTAAGACCTGTGTCACCTCTGCCCAGGGGTCCTGTGAAAATCAGCTGTGTTGATGTATGCAACATCATCTGAGACGGATGGGACCCTTTGGCAACCAGACAAGCAGAAACTAAAAGGAAACTTCCACGTGCTGCCACTGGGAAATTGGAATGACTCCTGTGTGTAAAGCAATTTGGTTATCCAGTAATGCTAAAGCTAAATATGTTGTCTGACCTAGCATTTTCCCTCCTAAGTATATAGTTGGAGGAATTATGGCATCAGGGCACAGGGATATGTACGAGAATGTTCATTGTCTTTGGGAGGCCAAGAAGGGAGGATTCCTTGAACTCTTTGAACTCAAGAGTTCAAGACCAGCCTGAGCAAGAGCAAGACTCTGTTTCTACCAAAAATAGAAAAAAGAGCCAGGGTTTGTGGGAGGCATCTATAGTCCTAGCTACTCAGAGGCTGAGGCAGGAGGATAGCTTGAGCCCGGGAGTCTGAGGTGGCTGTGAGCGAGGCTGACGTCACAGCACTGTAGCCTGGAGCAACAGAGTAAGACTCTGTTTCAAAAAAAAAAAAAACAAAAACAGAAAGAATGTTCATTGATGCTTTTTATTAAAGAAAAATTAGAAACAAACAACATATCTACAGAAATAAGAACAGCTAAACAAATTTTGTTGTTTTCATGATATCGAATGTTATTCAGCAGGTAAAAAAGAATGAACCAAAAAGCTACATGCATCAGTGTGGATAAATCTCAAAAATATATGTTGAGCTGGAGGGTAGGGAGCAAAGTACAGAGAGATACCATTTATGTCATGTTTCTAAACATGCAAATTGATACTTTACTGTTTAGGGGTACACACAGGTCTGAGTAACAGGAGTGTAAAAGCATGTGCGGGAATGCTTTATAGATGTTTATATATCTAAATCAGTGATGAGGAGTGCTCTTGGCAGAGGAGGGGGCAGGGATGGCACCCAAAGGGTAAAAGGGTGAGTGGAACACTGGACTTCAACTGTAAATGGAACATCTCATTTGCTTTTTAAAATCTCCATCAAATGGGCGATGCCTGTGGCTCAAGGAATAGGGTGCCAGCCCCATATGTCAGAGGTGACAGGTTCAAACCCAGCCCCGGCCAAAAACTGCAAAATCTTCATCAAATGGAGAATGATGTTAGGTGGGTGATGTGTGCACAGATGTGGGTTATGTTCTCCACACTCCTCTGTATGCTTGAAGAATTTCATAGTAAAAGAGAACAGACCACAATACAAATAGAAGGTTTTGGGTTTTTTCCATTCTTTCCTTAGCAGACTCAGGAAATAAAAACAACTCTGAAATTACAGTGCAGTCGCAGAGTATGCTCTTTGCATTTATGAAAATTTAACATGCCTAGAGGGAGAGAGAAACAATTCAAAGGTGTGAGGAATTTAGCTGTGCTGTCCCTGGGGGAGGGTGCCCTGGGGCAAGGGCACCTTGGGAAGTGTGGATCTGCTCTACAGCAGCAGATCCTGGCCACTGATCTCTACAAGACGGTCAGGTTCAAGGTTAATTTGGATTGTGTAGACAGTTCAACCCAATCCCAATGTGAAAAGCAACTCATCTGCCTCTGCAAGTGGAGCCCTGGACTAGAAGCAGAGCAAAGAGAGAGCCTCTTAAAGACATGACCCCAGGCTTGGCACCTGTACCTCAGTGGCCAGGGCCAGCCATATACACTGGAGCTGGCCAGTTCAAATCCAGCATGGGCCTGCTAAACAACGATAACTGGAACAACAATAACAACAACAACAACAACAAAAGCCAGGTGTTGTGGCGGGGCACCTGTAGTCCTAGCTACTTGGGAGGCTGAGGCAAGAGAATCTCTTGAGCCCAAGAATTTGAGGTTGATGTGAGCTGTGATGCGACAGCACTCTACCCAGGGCAACAGCTTGAGACTGTGTCTCAAAAAAAAGACGTGACCCCAGTTTTCATGGATATGTTCATTTTCTGTTGCTACTGCAACAGATTACCATGGATTTAATGACTTTATGCAAATTGTGCTGTCTTACAGTTCTAGAGGTCAAGAGACCAAAATAGTTCTCAAGCTGAAATCAAGGTATTGGTAGGGCTGAGTATGTTAGCTATATGTTTTTGAGATCTATCCACATTGATACCTGTAGCTCTGGTTCATTCTTTTTTACCTATTGAATAACATTCTATGTCATGAAAATACCAACTTTTCCAACTTCTACAGCAGTGCTTTTCAACCTTTTTTATTTCATGGC